TTTGACTATTTTTCGCGATGTGTGTGTGTGTGTGTGTGTGTGTGTGTGTGTGTGTGTGTGTGTGTGTGTGTGTGTGTGTGTGTGTGTGTGTGTGTGTGTGTGTGTGTGTGTGTGTGTGTGTGTGTGTGTGTGTGTGTGTGTGTGTGTGTGTGTGTGTGTGTGTGTGTGTGTGTGTGTGTGTGTGTGTGTGTGTGTGTGTGTGTGTGTGTGTGTGTGTGTGTGTGTGTGTGTGTGTGTGTGTGTGTGTGTGTGTGTGTGTGTGTGTGTGTGTGTGTGTGTGTGTGTGTGTGTGTGTGTGTGTGTGTGTGTGTGTGTGTGTGTGTGTGTGTGTGTGTGTGTGTGTGTGTGGGTGTGCGTGTGCGTGTGCGTGTGCGTGTGCGTGTGCGTGTGCGTGTGCGTGTGCGTGTGCGTGTGCGTGTGCGTGTGCGTGTGCGTGTGCGTGTGCGTGTGCGTGTGCGTGTGCGTGTGCGTGTGCGTGTGCGTGTGCGTGTGCGTGTGCGTGTGCGTGTGCGTGTGCGTGTGCGTGTGCGTGTGCGTGTGCGTGTGCGTGTGCGTGTGCGTGTGCGTGTGCGTGTGCGTGTGCGTGTGCGTGTGCGTGTGCGTGTGCGTGTGCGTGTGCGTGTGCGTGTGCGTGTGCGTGTGCGTGTGCGTGTGCGTGTGCGTGTGCGTGTGCGTGTGCGTGTGCGTGTGCGTGTGCGTGTGCGTGTGCGTGTGCGTGTGCGTGTGCGTGTGCGTGTGCGTGTGCGTGTGCGTGTGCGTGTGCGTGTGCGTGTGCGTGTGCGTGTGCGTGTGCGTGTGCGTGTGCGTGTGCGTGTGCGTGTGCGTGTGCGTGTGCGTGTGCGTGTGCGTGTGCGTGTGCGTGTGCGTGTGCGTGTGCGTGTGCGTGTGCGTGTGCGTGTGCGTGTGCGTGTGCGTGTGTGTGTGTGTGTGAAGAAAAGGAGTTTTAGTATGAAATTTAGATTGCTCAACTCATTTACTTTAAAAAATGTACTCTTGATAAGACTCGATTACTCTCATGGTTTTAACGAAATTTGGATTTTAGTAATTTTAGAACATAAACAATAATTATTAAAATACAAACTTTGTCAAAACCATGAGAGTAAATCGAGTGTTATCAAGGGTACGTTTTTGTAGTAAATGAGTACCCAATCCAAATTTCATACTCAAACCCCTTTTTTGCCATTGGCGTAGAATTTTTAAAGGTGCAATTATTTATAAAATCAAGTTCTACGCCTATGTATTATTATCGGACAAAATTTTATACGATGAAAAACATAAAAATGTACTTTTTTCATATCTTCTTCAACACCTCTAATCGAGACTTTTAACAAAAATAGCAATTATTTGCCTGCAATACGTATACAAAAACATTTATTGTTGGTTTCCATAGTTTCATCTAAATAAAAATATTGTCAAGTTTTAACACCTAATCTCTTGTTAACGATTGAAAGTGTTTTATCTGACTCAATAATTAAAAAAACAAATGCGTGGTTTATTAATATGGCTGTACAATATACCAATGCAGAATATATCGATATGTTACTGACATTAGGATTTTGTGAAGGAAATGTTCGAGAGAGTGTCAGGGTGTACTCTAAAAGGTTTCCAAATCGTCGTGTACCTAGCCACCCAACTTTTGCTGCTGTTGAGAGACGTCTTCGGGAGACCAGTTCCTTTGCTCCCAACACTGTAAATAATGGAAGAGAATGTTTTGTAAGGATTCCTGAAGTTAAAGAAGACATTTTAGAACGTGTTGAAGAAGATCCAGAGTTAAGCACCAGACGAATTGGAAGGGAACTAGAAGTAAGTGAAGATGTCGTTCATAAAGTGCTTAGAGAACAATTGCTATATCCATACCATAAGAAGCCAGTACAAGAATTATTAATCCATGATCCTCAAATTCGTTTGGGTTTGGTTTTTGTCGATTTGTTAATATGCAAAGAGAAAGAGATCCAAACTTTGTCAAGAAGGTACTCTTTACCGATGAAGCGGGTTTCACAAGAAGAGGTATAACTAATACCCATAATTAACATGTTTATGCCGTTGAAAATCCGCATGCAATAAAGGTAAACCATTTTCAGCACGAATTCAAAATTAATGTGTGGGCTGGAATAATTGATAATTTCATTGTTGGTCCTGTCATACTTCCACGAAGATTAACTGAAGAAAATTATTTGAATTTTATACAAAATACGTTGCCAGAATTGTTAGAAGATTTACCTCTCCAACTTCGGAGAGATATGTGGTTTATGCAAGATGGAGCTCCACCACATTTTTCTTTAAACGTTAGAAACCACTTGAATGAACAATATCTACACAAATGGATAGGCAGAGGTAATGACGCACCTGTAAATTGGCCACCACGTTCCCCAGACCTAACATCGATGGATTACTTTTTATGGGGACATCTGAAATCCACAGTTTACCTGTAGAAAATGAGGAACAACTCTGGCAACGTATTCAAGATGCAATAAACAATCTTTGAGGTGATGAAGAAGTTATGGAAAGGATACATTTTAATTTTCTTCGGCGTATAAATCTTTGTATGCGTGAAAATGGTGAACATTTTGAACAATTTTTGTAAAGATTATGTTGTAAATAAATATTTTTGTGAAACCTATACACTCTAAATTATTAAAACAGAAATTTTGCGAAAACCATGAGAGTAATCGAGTTTTATGAAGAGTACCTTTTTTAAAGTAAATGAGTTGCGCAATCTTAATTTCATACTCATACTCCTTTTCTTCCATTGGCGTAGAATTTTTAAAGGTGCAATTTTTTTAAAAAATCAAGTTCTACGCCTATGTATTATTATCGGACAAAATTTTAATACCATTTTTTGCCACATAAAACTCTACCAACTTACCAAATTTCAGCAAAATCGCATATGCCGTTTTAAATTTATATAGGAAAAACGATTTAAAAATTGTAACTTCAAGGCCCTCTGGAGCCCAAACGAAGCAACTTTGTACAAAGGTAATTTTACTTAAATCGACTTATTTTGGTCTAAGGAATATGTGGTATGTTTTTGTAAAGACCTTTTACAGACACCCTGTATATGACCTATGTGTGCCAATGTGAGAAGACAAATAAATTGAACCTTAATAATGGTATAGTATAATTTTAATAATAAATTTGAAAAAACCTGTATATTTTATTGAATTGCGAACTTACACACCATATAACTTAGTGTGCTGTTTTTAATAGTACCATGTGTTTAGTTACAAAAAAATAATAAGTGAAAAGGAATTATAATTTTAATTTAAAGTTTCAGGATCAAGATGACACAAATTTCTGCATAGCTAATAAATAAATAAATAAATAAGGTAAGCCTTTCTTGATAGCTATGATATCGTATTTGTTATAATACTATTTTTATTTAGAAATGGAGGTTAAAATTAAAAATTCACCCATCTGTAAAATTTTCGTTTTAGCACATATTTGTCTAATAATTTTTGCATAGCAGATGTGTGTTTTTGATATTTCTAAAGCAACGAAATTATTTCAATTTTTCGGACAAAAAATAGATTCTGACTGTTTTAAGTTTTACTTTTATAAGTAATTTTGATCTCGTAGAAAAATGTTCTGTTTTCTCGAACATTTATTTACTGTAACTACCGTGACAGGACTATTGCGTGCAAGAGCTCTTAAATCTTGAATAAAGTGAGATTGTGCTTGAAACAGCTGGTGCTCTATTAACAAGCTTATCACCTATTTATGCCTGTGTTACTTCTGGAATTTGCTCTTTGATTATGTAAACGACCGTTTCGCTTTTTATTCGGAGGAAAATGGGAAATTTTAATCGGTAATTGCAGGTTTTGCTTTTGAATGGAGTTTTAAATGGAGCCCAATTAAGTATTGCCCGTTCGTTTATACCCCGAAGTTATTTTGTTTTGTTTATTGTTTATTCGTTAGTGAGCGAATGTTGCCTGGCCCTTATAGAAGGCAATGAACTGAACGAATTTAATTTTTATATTTTATGCATAAGAGTATAATTATATGGGAAAATAAACAATTTTTATGCGTGAGAAAGATGTTGAATAAATAATAAATTATTCAATCTGCCCCAGGTGGTCTGTCCAAAATCAAACATTTTTAATAAAACCACTGATTTTTTGTTTCGATTTTTAAAAAAGAAATAAAAAAAGACATGTCTCTTCGGTCCATAAATTCCATAATTACAGTCCACTATAAATTTTCTCCTGACGCACTATTTCTAATTCATGGATTTCTTATAGATTTTAACAGTTTTTTAAAATGCAAGAAATCTGAGTACTTCGTTGGAATGACGACCCAAGGTTATTTTCTTCTGGCCAATCGAAAAATTGGATACCGTTAGGATGGTTCGAAAAGATCCCCAGCACCTATTATAGCAGTATTTATTGTACTATGGGCATGCCCATGGTTTGTTTCGAAAATCCTTAGTGATATTTCATATTATTATGAAATATTTTTATTCTGGCCATAGCAGTCGTCCAAGTAGTAAAAGGGTAGTAATTTGGTCTTTAATCTTAAAATATTCCAAAAATTTATAAATACGTGTAGAGATTTCCAAAGAACCTCTCTTGCTCAAAGTTTCATTCAATGGAAAGACATTTTTTGGTACCAATATTGTAAAAAGTAAAGTTAAATATTCCAAATCTTTTTTGTAGGAAATAGCATTTTCTTTGCTTCTTGGCAAGTTTATAACTTGTTGTAAATCAAAAACTCCACAGAGAAATGATTTGTTTTCTATTGTTCGTTTTTTGTCTATAGCTTTTAATTCTCGAACTTTTTGCTCCTCTGCAATATGTTATGTGTACTTAACTTTTTTTTTTTTTTTTAATATTGTGTCTCGGCGTCGACTAAAATTTTCTTTTACAGTGAGATCTCCTCCTTGAAAGTAAGTTATATAGAGGGAACATTGATTCTTTATTGAATTGTAGAAAAATAAATTTTGCTATTTTAATATTTTTCGGTACGTACTATAACTTGGTTTGTTAGTAATTTTTTTTTTCAAGATGCTCCCAAAACATTGTACCTCTTGGACAAGGATAAGCCAGAGTAAGTACGTTCTTGAAGTTGTCAATGTACAGTCATATACATACACAAAATAAACATAGCTGTTCAGTTAGGTTGCAGTCGAGGGGCGAATCACTCTTTGTAAAAATGTACATGTATTGCCGAATTCACATGATTTCCGCAATCATATGGCGATTTCTGGATGACTGCGGCGAGATCCATGTGACTTCCTACAGATTTCTAGTTACTGCGGTGATTTCCACATGACTTCAATAGATTTTTCGTAACTGCGCTGATTTATGCCTCGACTGCGGCGATTTCCATACTGATTGCGGCGATTTCCGTATGGATTGCCACTATTTTTTCAAAATTGCAGACATTTCCGAAGGATTTTTACAATGTATGGATTTCTAGTTGGTTTCCAGTAAAAAACATTAATTAGCTGGGTGTTATATTAGGAGAACTAAATTTTGTATAAGACGTGAAAACAACGTGAAATTTGTTTTATTGAATTAACTTTATTTTTTAAGATGTTAAATTAGTCACAAGTCTGTCAAACCAATAATTGTCAATATATTTTTTAGTTATTGAGATTAAATGCAATTAAAAATGAATGATTCTTGTGAAGAATCGGTAAATAAAAGCATTTCACAAGATATTATTCGAGTATATTTACAAATACTTACCTATATCGTAAATTAATTTTTTTTTTGTTTTTGTTTTTTAAAGTTTATTTTATTTAATAAATTAATAAAAGTCATCAACTATTTTTAAAATAGTCATTTTATTTTAATTATCTCTAAATAAATGTTTAACATTTTGTATATTTTCGTTAGTGGGTCGTAAAAAATATACTGTACAACTTGAGTGGATTATACGTATTACATATGGCCATCATATCCACTTTTGTTGCACAAACTACTATTGTGAATCACTCTTTATAAATTCTTTATTTAAACATATATCTACCTAAATTAAATAAACTCATAGTAACACTGCACCTGTCAACTATTATTCTAAAGCTAAAGGGATGAATCAGGGTGTGTTTTTATCCCTATAGAATCTGTGTACTATTTTTGCAAAATTAATTGTTTCCGATTTTTAACATAAAAATCTAAAGTGTCCAACACATGACTTTTTCTCTAGTTATTGCAAGCTTTTTCCGGTTAATTTGTACAACCTACTGTACTACCCCTGTAAAAAGATTTTCCACACACATCTTACTCCAAATATTTTTTACATGTATTTATTGCCAACGAAAATAGTGAAAAATTAAAATTTTACCCTTTTTGTCAAATTTTTCTATTACGGTCCATAATAAAATTCGAATTTTGTACTTTTTGTAAAATTTCTCGAATATGGACCATTTTTGGAAAATTATGTATAGGATAAAAATTATAGAGAAAAACATCGCAAGCAACAAATAGTAATGTAGAGTTAGGTAACAACAAGAAATTTAAAAACAAAGCAAACCTTAATATTTAATGAACTTAATTTAGTACAGTCCTCTACGTTGGACCTCGCTAAGAAACTTATTGGGTAACAGCTACTTGGATCTATACTAAATAATTCTATTAAGCAGAAAAACGACCCTTTACAAAGTGCTCTGACTATGCCCAAAAATTAATCAGCTCATTAGAGAATGGATGAAAGCTTAAGTTTAAAATTTTTTGTTTTTCTCTTTAACCGTTTTTGAGTTTTCACCATATTCGAAATTTGCACTTTTCCTCAAATATCTCGAATACGGTACAAATCATGTATAGGACAAAAAATTATAGAGAAAGACATCACAAGCAACTTTTATTTGAATAATTTTCTTAAAAATTCTCAATATGCACTTTTTGTAAAAATGTTTGAATACGAACAATTTTAGGAAAATTATTTACCTATAGGATAAAAATTATAGAACAAAACAAGCAACTTTAATTTAAATAATTTCCTTCTCCAAGCGTAAATAACAAATATTCATAATAGAAAAACGACCCCCAATAAAGTAACCATCCCCAGATTTCCCTACTATGCCTAAATGTAATTCACTCATTATTAGAGGATTAATCAAAGCTTAAATTTAATATTTAGTGTTTTTCTCTTTATCCGTTCACGAGTTATTGAGTATACAGACACACACATACATCATTGCGAAAATAGGCAAAACGAATTTACGGAACCCCAAAACGTAAAAATCTGTCAAAAAAAATCATGATTCCTATACTTTCCTTATCTGTATACAGACAGGAAAGTAAAAAATGTATTCTGCCAATAAATTAATTCCTTTTTAAATAAAATACATTTAAAACCCTAATTAAAACGTGTATGACCCCCTATAATAAATTACAAAATTTTTTATTATGCATTAAAAAAAAATCAGGTGAAATAGAGACAATTATGGACCACCTTGTAACTATCTTCAATCAGATCAGATTAGAAATTTGATGAACTTTGCCAAAAATGGCATTTTAAAATTAATAATAATTGATAAACGTAAATGCAATTTGTTTAATTTTACACGAGATGGCTTAGTCAAAGCACAATGGCGAATTGGTGAAATGTCAACTGATTGCGCGCGATTTTTAATGATTGCTAGTGATTGCTCAGCGACTGCGGGAGATTTCGGGAGACTGCGAGGAAATTCTGAACGACTGCGACGATTTCTTAGCGATTGTCGCTGATTTTGATGGGACTGCGGCGATTTTCAATGGGATTGCGGACATTTTGTACATGTATTGCGGGAGTGATTCGCCCCTCGGTTGCAGTTTATCCTGTGGATCTTATATTATTTTACTTCACTAAGATATTCAAAGTCACTTAGAACAAACAGTACGTGAGAAAACTATTTTGCGTTTTTCCAGATAGGACACAAAAGTATTATGCTGTATTGCATGCACTATTAAGGTTGTAGATATGCCACTTCGTGAGATGATAAAGTAGGTCAAGACTAGTTAATCAGCTCAAAAAAAAACTTTTTTTTAATTTTTGTTGGTTAGGTCACTTCGTGATAAGGGCGAAGATATGACGACAGCGATCAAGACGAAATATATTCACCATCAAAGAGCTACTCGAAGACCAGCAGCAGCAGCAGCAGCAGCAGCAGCAGCAGCTCCGATAACGAAAATAGGACATATAATATTTTTAATACAAATCCCGATGCACGTCAGAGATCATTTATGACGTCACGGCCTTGCAGTGTTGCCTAATCGTCAGAATAGTTGAGGAATTTAGAATTTTTTAAAATTGTAAGGTTATGTATTTGTTATGTTACTATATAGTAGGAACAATTAGTTTTAAATGTATATAACTAACGGAAAATATTAAATTCCTTTATGAATAATAAACATCTGAACAAAAAAGCTTTAAACATATTATGCAAGTCATGGAAAATAAAACTGTAAGGTAGTATATTGCAGATGGATCAAAATTGGTTTAGAATTAGTACAGAAAATATCTAAAACTAATTTAATTTCACCAAGAAAGTAATTTAATAGAACTACATTTAAGTTATAAACCACAACACCCCATACAATTAAAGAGGTCATTGAAAAAATGAAAACTACAAAGGCATGTGGAGGATTAATAATATCAGTAGATACCTATACTTAAAGAATTAAAGTTTGAAAATGCTAAAATATTTGAATACAAGAAGGAAATTGTTAAAATATTTGAGTAGGTGCTTTAGTAAATCTCACTTTCAGTAACGGTTCTGTAGCTCAAGTATTCAAGATAGCCAGAAATGCTTCAAAAATAAACGGATATCGCTACTTCTTTTCAACTCTAAAGTTATCTAAACATGTATGAACAATAGATTCATCACTCAAACATCAAGATTCTCCATTCTATCAGCTTCAAAAGACATTTGAAAAATGTTATTCTCAGTCAAATATTTTTTTGATATCTCAAGTATTCAAGATAGCCAGAAATGCTTCAAAAATAAACGGATATCGCTACTTCTTTTCAACTCTAAAGTTATCTAAACATGTATGAACAATAGATTCATCACTCAAACATCAAGATTCTCCATTCTATCAGCTTCAAAAGACATTTGAAAAATGTTATTCTCAGTCAAATATTTTTTTGATATCTTGGAATAAATTAAATAAAAATACAGATATATAAGAAATATATCAAACTGTTTATTGTTTTAAAAATTAGACAATGTTTTTTTTTTTAATTACACTATTTTCTCATAAAAAAAACAATTATTTATCTACTAATCTTCATTATTCCTATAAAATTCTTTTATTTCTCCTAATCCAGATCGCAAGTATTTGAATCGCAGTCATCGATATCGCTATTAGGGTTAATTATAATAAAAATAATTTCCAATCTATTAAAAAATCCCTCTCTGCCAATATGTTTATTATTATATTGCTTAGAAAGGTCAAAAATAAGTTCAATGGAGTTAAAAATAAAATGGCAGGGAAGATTACGTAATACTTTGTCTATATTGTTCTGCTTAGGTAATTATCTACCATATATTTCTTTGGCGGTTTGCACCTGAAAAAAGAATGTTTTATTTAGTTCTATTTAGTTGCCATTTCGTATAACGTGTGTCAATATCACTATATTCTAAACTGTAATATCGAAACAACACATTATATCAATGATTTAATGTTAGGTACACCGTTATACCAAATCTTGTAACTTCATTTTTAATTTTTTGATATTGTTTTAAAGTTTATTTCTGAAAAAAAAAGCATTTTTGGGTGTCACTGTACATCTTGAAAATGTGTAAAACGTAGATGTTTATTGACCACTGTAATCAAATTTTTCCAATTAAATTGTCTTTATATGATTGCTAGAATAGCGTATCTACCATTAAATCTTCAATATGATGTGTCATTTCAATATTAATATTTTTTTTTACTTGATTTACACAATTACTGATACCTTAATTTGCTTCAAATTTGGTTTTATCTCTTGCCATCGATTTTTGTAGGTCTAACACCCTTTGTCATTATTTTCCCAGGAGCTGTTTAATGTTTCATTTTGAACGATACATGTTTCATCAATGACAACGAACTGCTTCTGTTGTAATTCTATAATTT